GATCCAAGAATTGGGGATCTGTTATATATATACCCCTAAGTGCAGATTGGTACATATTAGAGAGCTAAATGTGATTGCTGTTCATCATCGGCTATCCCTCATGGCGCTTTTGCTATAGACTTCTTACCGAACTAATCTGAATTAATGTTCAATATTGGTGTTGTTGTCCCACTGTGGGGTTGTTAGTGGCATTACAATAAACTTTGGATGTTTTGAACTCTAGCATTGTCGAGGATTTTGCATACGCACACATGGTGTGTTACACAACTGGTAGAGCCAAACCCCTCTTGTGTGGGTAGCATTACGCCGACGGGACTTTCTTTCACAAAACGTGCGACCGGGTTCGCCTGGGCCCACTGTCGGATGACGCTGAACATAGTACGTATGCGCCAAGACGAATTGCGGCCAGGTGGGATGCGGCAAGAAGGCTTAATTACTCTGCCGGGCAAGCTGACATCTGGAGAAAAAACCAACGCATTTCAGCTGCCACTCGTGCACCGTTTTTTGGCCAATCAACGTTGACATGGGAGATGGAAGCAAGCCTTTTTGAGGTCTTGGACAAGACGAGGACACGCTAGCGAATGCCAGCCCCGACAACGCACCCGAGTCTTGCTCCTCTCTGAAGAAGCAAAGGGAGATGAAAAAAAAGAAAAAAAAGAAAAAAAAAAGGAAAAAAACGGACGCACACAGTCAGCATGTAGTCTGGACCGTAGGATCGAACGCCTGTGCTGTTGGACCAAGGAAATTGGAACCTTGCGACCAACTTGCTGCTCCAACTAATAACAAGCTGCCGACCCGTTCTCTGCCCCTGACATATTAGTGCAGCCTCTTCCGTCACCCCGTTGTCCGTCATCTTAAGACCCTTGCATGCGGGCCCTGTCGATGATGTCTGGACCTTACGCCCCTCTCTAATATTACCCCACTCTATTGCCCCATCCGCGTTAGGCAGTCAATCATACGGATACTAGGAAGAACTTTGGTTGTTATTGCAGAGGCTGTGTAGGCAGCAGCTGCAGGAATAAATCCCTCTTCGAACTAGATGAGGAGCGTGGCAGGGGGGTCCAAATTGCACCTCGCCAACGTGATGAGATGATGGAAACAGACATTTTCATCGGGGTGGTGGTCATCTTAAACCAATATTGTGCTAAGTCCTCAGTCGTCCTTTGTAGAGGAGCGCTATAAGACCCAGTATTCAAACTCGGGACCACATCACTTACGGGAACCAGGCCGAGGCCGCAGTCTTCATCTTATACAGATGACTCATGCGATAGACGACTCCACGCGTGGCCGAGCAAGAATGAACCCTTCCGCCTCGCTTAAGCTTCGGGTGTTTTCGTCTGTCCGTGGGCGGACGAATAGGAGAGCGCGGAGTGCCGAACTCGTCGGGCAATGTGCGCGCACATGGTAGCGCAAAGTTAGTTATAGGACATTGTACTCCGTATGGGTCAATTAAAGCCGAGTCACGTGAGGTCTGATTGGTCGCTTGAAACTCTTGAGATTAACCAAGAACGACTCGTGAACTCAAATCAGCGGGGAAAGTTTGAAATTGGGGATCTTGGCATCTCCATGTAAATGGTAAGGTGATGTTGTCGATGTTTCTCATGGGTCACCGTCATGAGGTCTCGCCATCACCGCCGCCGCCAGGGCGGTCTTGGCGCAGAGCACGGCTCTTGGTCTCTTCCCCATCCCCGTTGTTAGACTGTGTTTCAAAGACGACGAACAACCGTCATCTTATCTCCCCAGCCACTGTGTCTGACGCTTCTTCTTTCTACCTTGCCATTTCCCAGCCGATCGATCTAGGTAGCCTGCTGCTGCCAAGCCGACTAGTCAGGGTTCTGTCTTTTCGTGCGTTAGCGGTGCACCATCTGAAGGAGGGCGTAAGTCTTGGCAATCAAAACGGGACGAACCTGGTGGAAGTTAGTTTAGACGAGCCCCTCATCGGTGCCTCTGAGGAAACGGGGGAACATGCAGGGCAGACTTGGCAAAGCTCGACGGGATTTTATATGGTTGGTCGTGCCTTGCTGTGTTGGCTTACCTGGGATCCTTCCTCTCTCTGTCCGCCAACGGTCAGTCTTACACCAAGACAGCGTCACACTCGTTTTTGCATATACCGAAGTCATTCTTTACTATTTAATAGTCTTTCTTTCAGATAACCATGTATTTCAAGACCGTTACCGCGTCGCTCCTCGTTGCCGGAGCGGCCGCTACTCCTTTCCGCCGCCAAATCTCGAACGAGACCTTCTGCGATGAAGACCTTCCTGTCCCCGCGCCTAGCACTACCAAGCTTCACTTTCCTCCCTATCCTGTGAACACCACCTTCCCTGGTGTCCCCTCGAACCCCGGTGGCTCATACCCAGGCTCTGCTTCGAAGCCCGGAAACGGTGGCTCACACCCAGGCTCGGACTCAGGCTCAGGCTCAGGCTCAGGCTCTAAGCCGGGTCATGGCTCTGAATCTGGACCTGGTCCCAACACCGGATCTGGCTCTCACGGCTCTCCTACCGGCCCGAACTCCGGCTCTCAGCCTGTCTCTCAGCCTGGCTCCGATTCCAACTCAGGTTCTAAGCCTGGCTCCGATTCCAACTCAGGTTCTAAGCCTGGCTCCGATTCCAACCCAGGACCTGATGCCAGTGCTCCGTCGGCTTCTAGCCCCGCACAGCCCCCTTTAGCTGTTGGCAATGTGCCCTCTTACCCGGGCAAGCCGGCTGCGGGCTCTTCCTACGTCCCCTTTCCTCTGAATATTACCGTTCCCACAGCTGCTCCTGCTCCTTCTATCACCACTATCCCCGGAGTCGCTCTTCCCACTGGACCCGTCGCCATTCCCAGCACCACCGTGCCCGTCGGCAGCAATAATACCGCCACAACCATTAGCTCTAGCTCTGCAGCCTCCAGTGCCACTGCACCGGCTACCGTCATCCCTTACGGAGTTGCCATCTCCAGCTGTACTGTTCCTGGCGACTTCGCCCTTACCTTTGACGACGGGCCTTTCACTTACACTGGCCACGTGCTTGACCTCCTCGCCGAGGCTGGTGCCAAGGCTACTTTCTTCCTCAACGGCAAAAACTTTGGCGACATCAACGACTTCCAAGATGTCGTCAAGCGTATGGATGCCGAGGGTCACCAGATCGGCTCTCACACCTTCAGCCACGCTGATCTCGCCACTCTGGGTGATGCCGACATCATCCCTGAAATGACTTCCCTCGAGGATACACTGATTGACATCGTCGGAAAGTACCCTACATACATGCGCCCTCCTTACTTCAGCTGGAACGACAACACCTTGTCCATCCTCAAGGCTCTGGAGTATCACGTCATCCATGCCGATATTGACTCACTCGACTACGCCAACAACGCCCCTCTTGGCAACCTGACCAGTGTCGGTATATTCGAGAAGGGTGTCGACGCCGGTGGATCCATCGCTCTGGCCCACGACGTTAGTCGCATCGATCCTGAACAGTCCATATAATCAAGCATTGCTAACTATCCTAAAGGTTCACCAAAACACCGCTGAGTACCTTGTACCCGAGTTCCTGAGAATCATCAAGGAGAAGAACCTGAGAGCTGTCACCGTTGGGGAGTGCCTCGGCGACCCTAAGGCCAACTGGTACAAGACCAAGCGCACTTCGACTCCCGCCGCCACCGCTTCTAAGATCACTGTCTCCATCACTAGCACCGCTACTCCTACCGGCGTGATCGGCCCTGGTGGTGCCTGCGGTGGCTCCGAGGGTTATGTCTGCGAGGCTGGTGCTTGCTGCAGTGAGTACGGATATTGCGGCTACTCCCAGGCCTACTGCGCCGCCGGCTGCCAGCCCCTTTTCGGTGTATGCGGTGTTTCTGGCCCCGTTGCCTCCGGCGGCAGTGCTACTACTTCCAGCGCTCCCGCTGCCATTCCGACCGGCGGTGTGAGTACCGACGGCTCTTGCGGTGGCGCCAACGGCTACACTTGCCCGGGGACCACTTGCTGCAGCGAGTATGGTTACTGCGGCGACACCACCGCCCATTGTGGTACTGGATGCCAGCCGCTTTTCGGCACCTGCGCCTGAAGTTCTACTTGAGACGGATAGGCTATGCGGGAGATATTCATTTTACCGGCATGATGTGGTCTAGGAAAAATTCCCTTGACATATATTCTGTAAAATTGTTTACAGAGTCAACGGAGCGTATCCACTTCACCAGTGAATACCATCTAGTCATCACAATAGCAACCTTACATGACTGCTAAAGAATTTATGGCATCTTGATGACGTCGCAAATTACGACTTGCCAAGATTTATTTTCTATTTCTACTTTTTTAATTCAAAACACGAAATTGGGCTCAAATACTCTACTATGGCTCGGACTGTGAATGAATCTGCCAAGACGGACCCGGCTGTCTGGAATAAGCCCAGCTGAGAGCTATCCTAGCGACTGGATAAGCGAATGGAGCCATCATAGTGCGATCTAAGAGACGATATCCACCTCTAAGCTAAGCTAGTTCGAAGAGAACAACGCCACTGTTGTGAAGCGGTCTTCTTTTGCATGCCTCGAGAGTCGTAACCGCATCTTTGGGTATTGCTATATGCCTCGCCGGGAAATGTAGATATCCTTTGGCGTTGATACACTATCCATCATCACACGCAAATATTACTTGTGCATCGATTGGGTTGATGACTAACTTGCTACGCGGGCCTGGCGTTTTGGAACAGGATGAACCGAGAAATATCCTGGCTACCAGCGACGGAATCTCGTAAGAGAACATCGGCATTATTTACACGTAGACGAGCAACCCCTCAGTCGTTGAGTTTCATTCAGTGAGAAGTGGGTCGCTAGTTAAGACGGCATTCGCGGGAAATAGTATCATCGATCGAATTTTCATCCTGACAACACCGCCAATCACGAGTTGGGGTGCTCTCATCGAATTCCTGCTAACATTCAACAACGCTGGGCTTGACCAGGCCACTGATCACTAGCTATCATGAAGGTTTAACCAACTTTGTCGCCTACCTGCAGGGGGGCGTCTGGGTTCCCCGCATTGGCCATTTTGACCTGGAGAAACAGACTATACAACCCCTCAGTTTCGACTCTGGAACTCCTGTGGAAAATCTCTACCAAGTTAATTATCGAAGCAGATGCTGGCCGATGTATCGCTGCCGGGCCAGTGATATCTGCAAAGGATGTCAAGCTGCTGCCACCGCTCTCAGCCCGGGATGTTCTCGCTGTTGGCAAGAACTACATGGAGCATGCCAAGGAGTTCAACAGTTCAGGCTATGACAGTTCTGACAAGGTTGATCGGCCCAGTCACCCCGTCATTTTCACCAAGCGTGCGACTTCCATTACTGCGCACGGAGACGATATTTACATTCACAAGGGCTTCACTGAAAGCGCAGATTACGAAGGGGAGATTGATGTCATCATTGGGCGGGCTGGATACCAAATACACGAGAATGATGCTTGGGACTATGTCTGGGGTTACACCATAATCAACGATGTGACAGCCAGAGAGAGACAGCGCGACCATAAGCGATTTTACATTGGTAAATCGCCAGATACTTTCTGTCCAATGGTAAGCATCATCGGCAACGAGATTTCATGATATGAAACTAACCATGCTCAACCAGGGTCCGATTGCTGTAAAAAAGGAGGATTTGCCAGATGGGGGTCGATTTTTGAGATTGCAAACCAGGGTCAACGGCGAGTTGCGCCAAGATGCGACAAACCAAGATCTGATGTTTTCCATTCCTTGCCTTGTCAGTACATTGTCAGCTGGACAAACCCTGCAACCGGGCGACATCATTGCAACCGGCACAGTAAGCTTCAAAAAGAACCCCCCATCTTTGGACCACTCTGTGATGATACTGATCAAAAATCAAACCCGCTGGTGTAGGAATCGGTCGAAGCCCTCCGGTATTCCTTAAAGTCGGTGACGAGGTCACAATCACAGTGGCTGGGCTTGGAACTCTGGCGAACAAGGTTGCCGGGCAGAACGAGAGAGACTATCCTATGCCGCAGTCTGGACCTGGATCAATGTCAAACTTTCGACTCACAAATGGGGAAAGATCAAACCTCGGCCAAGCCAGCTTGAGCTCAAAGGACAAGCTTCTAGGATACCAGCGTTTAGGTACGGGGAAGGAAGCTGTGATCTTTGTCCATGGCCTAGGCGGCGCCAAAGACTGTTGGCTCCCGCTCATCTCGACACTGTTGCTTCCTAGCTCAGTTTCTGCACATGTTTACGACATAGAGGGACATGGCATTACTCCACCGCATCCTCTTCATAGAATCACCATAGATACTCTAGCTGAAAGGCTGTTGGATGTTTTCGATTTGGCAGAGGCGTCAATTCAATTTCCAGCAACGTTGATAGCTCATTCTATGGGGTGACTCGTGGCCATAAAGTTCGCACTCACGCATCCGAGTTTGGTCAAGAAACTGGTACTTCTCGGCCCTCCACCGTTGCCCATCCCGAAAAACCAGGCAGAGGCTTGGGCCTATGAAGCAAATCGAGTGCGAAGCCATGGCATGGGCGGGATCGCCGATCAAATCATATCGACGCAGCTTTCACATTGTAGTCAGAGAACGAATCCTCTTGCTATAGTCGCCACAAGGTTGAGTCTCCTGGTACAAGTTCCTGAGGGGTATGCAAAGGCGTGTTCAGCACTTGCTCAGTTCGACGAGTCTCTAGATCTGGAGGCCCTGACAGCGGACACAGCTATCGTCACTGGAAAGGACGATCCCGTCTCGCCACCCAAATTGGCCGAGGAGTATGCTCGCAGAATCAGCAGCTCGAACTATATGGTGTTGGAGAACGCGGGACATTGGCATGTTTTTGAGAATGCAGAGGGGGTTGCAAAGAGCCTGAGAAACTTTTTGTAGCGCTCATAGGCTCTCAGCGTAACATAACTTTTTACCTCAGAAATGGTGAAGAAATGCGTTTGGGTTTATTTGTCGGTACATAGGAGAATATATTTGACTTGAATATTCTACTACATTCCAGGCCACATGACTTCAAGCCTAGTCAACCATGTTGTGTCATGTAAGATTGCGCGGGCTACTAATACATATCACGGTATATTGAGGGTAGATCACGTTTGCGGAATCAGATCTAATATCCCCGGTACGTACGTCTCAAACATAATAAGATGACCTTCAGTCTAAGAACAGTTGACAATTTCCAACGGCAAAGTTAAATCGGCGGCAGTTATATCGCTGATTCCTAACACGCGCTTCTACTGGTATAAGTCTTCTCGAATGTCATCTGAAAGTGTCCTCAGAAACCTGGGTGCATTTTGAATCTCAAAGTATAATGGTCCCCGTTAAAGATCGTAACCACTCTATCGCAAGCGTGGTTCAGGAACTGTGGGAGCAGCAAGGTGAGGCAATATCCGTTGATATTGGTGATGTGTAGCTGACTAGAAGTGGGCTGCCTACAGTGGGCAGAGGCTGCCTGAGAAGGAGGTGGAGGTGGGTCACGTGACCCATGGGCTCCTCCACCAACACTCCCCCTCAGGCTCTGCTAGCCTACTCCTATATACTGTAACAATAGGGGCAAATAACTACCTAACCCTAAATCCTCTAAATCTAAGGAGTTTTTAAAGTATATAATAACTTTAGTAAAAAGCTAGTAATTTACTTATTAGTCTAGTAATAATTTATCTATATACTAATAAGCTTATATAATCTATATAACTTATTATCTATATAGTCTATCTATATATATATATAACCTATTAATTTAACTTATTTACTATACCTAGTAGTCTAATAAAATCCTTATGTTTATTTAAGGCTAGTGCCTTTATAAGGCTATTAGTAGCTATTTTAGTACTATAAATAAGTTAGAGAGTAATATTTTTATAAGTATAAACCTCTTAGATTATTTATTTATATTAGATATTAATACTTTAAGTTTATACTTTATTAAGGGGATTTATAATATTAACTATTATATTAGTACTATTAGTAAAGAGGATAGTTAAAGTATCTAGTAGTTAGCTAAGGAGCTATTTAGTATAGTAATAAATCTACTTTATAGTAATTACTACTAGCGTAAGGTTAATAAACTTTACCTTAGTAAAGCTTAAAGTAATAAAGGTTTATTACTTAGACTTTTAAGCTACTAGTAAGCTAGTAAAGTAAATAATATAACTACCTATAGATACCTATAATAGGTAATTATTAGTAAAAGAAGTATTTACTATAGTATAAAGGCTAATATTAGTAAAAAAGTTAAGTTTACTAAATAAAATACTATAATAGGTAGTGCCTTTAAGGTAGTAAAAAAAGTACTTAATAGCTACTTAATAAGTAAGTAATAGGCTAGTATTAGCCTAAGAGAGTTTACTAACTATAAAAGTAATATCTAGGTATATACTAGTAGCTAACTAGTTAAGGTAGTTAGTTTATTTAATATAGAGCTATTAGTTAGCTTTAGTGTAGTTATTTTTACTTTAAGTAATAAGAAGGTCCTAGTTAGTAAGCAATAAGGTTTTAACTAGCTAGAGGTTACTATAGCTAAAGTAATAAAGTATACCTTTAGTATACTTATATTAATTAATATAAATCTTGTTAATAGTAAAGTACTAAATCTAGAAGCTAAGAAATTAAGAGGCCTTACTAAGGTCCTTTAGTAAGTAGACCTTAGTAAGTATATTATATATTTTCCTAGTTGTCTTAGTAGTAAGTATAGCTACTATATTATTATTAATATATATTAAGGCATAGGCATTAAGGTCTTTATTATAGAAGAGGTAGATTTCCCCTTTAACTAGCTAAAAGCTAATTTTCTCTATTTTACTTTTAATAAGTATAAACTACTATAGTAGTAACTTATATAGACTATAGAGAGCCTTTTAGAGTAACTAGACTTTATTATTAGTAGTAGTATAACTAGTAGGTTATTTAATATAGACATTAGTACTAGTAGGAATAAAGGTAGTAAAAAAGGTAGTATTAAAGTTATATATCTTATACTTTAATTTATAAAGAGTAATAATAGTAAAAAAGAGGTAAATAGTAGTAGTAGTAGCTATAGCTATATATACCTCTTATAATAACTAATTACTTTACTTAAAGTTATTATAAACTACTTATTAGGCCTTAAAGTATATAATTTTATTATTTATATTAGTCTTAATATTAAATACTTATTTACCTAGTAGTACTTTAGCTTTAGTTAAAGGGTTAATAAAGGTATATACCTCTTTATTATTAAACTATTAGATCTTAGTATTATAGGCTTATTTCTAATAGTGCTAGTATAGGCCTTCCTTTGCCTTCTTAAAGGTAATAAGTATATTATAACTAGTAGGTAGTACTTTTAATAATATAGCTACTATAAAGGTACTAATAAAGTAACTTTAACTATCTTAGTGTACCTAAATATTAGCTAAAAGATATACTTTTTCTTATAGTTTTAGATACCTACTATCTTATAATAGTAGCTAGGTAGTTTTACTATACTAGTATAATATAGGTAACTAGTAGTAATATACTTAGTAGTAGATATAGTAGTAAAGGCCTTAATAATAAGGTCTAGCTTATTCTTCTTTATAACTAGAGGAAAGTAGTTAGCCTCTTATTAAATAACCTTATAAAACTTATTATTAGTAAAGTTATTATTTTATTTATTTAGGTGTTTATTTATAGGCTATTTATTAGTAAGTAATAAGATAGGTGTAGTAGTGTCTTCTAGGAGTAAAGTTATATAGGTAGTATTATTAATACACTTACTATTAATAGTGCTACTATTAGTTTAGTTAGCCTACTAGTTTTATAGGGTCTTAGTAACTAGTAGGTAAGAATTAAGGACTTAGCTAGGAAACTAAATCTAGAGGTTAAGCTTATTAAAGAGTATATTATAGTTAGTATTTACTAGGATATTTATATTAGTAATAAGGTAAAAAATAGTCTTTTTTTTTTTTTATAAAAATAAATATTATAGTAATAGATAACTTACTTTTAATTAAAGATATAAATATAGTAAATATAACTATATAAAGAGCTATAGCTAATAAGGTAACCTTTTATTATATAAGGTTCTATTTTTATAGAATAAAGGGGGCACTTACTACTCTTCTTATATATATATATAATATAACTAAAGGTATAAAGGTGTTTAATTTAAGGAGGTTCTTAGTTAGTAGTAAGGTTAAGCTTATAGGTAATAATCTTATAAAGGCTTATTTTACCCTTAGTTAACTATAGTAGTAGGTTAAAGATCTAGACTATAGTGTTAAGTGTATAGTCCTAGAGATCCTTTAGTAAGTTATTATTAATAAGTAAAGTATAAGTAGCCTCTATAAAGGTATAGCTAGTATATTTAATTATACTATTTATTAATAAAGTATAAGTAGTAGTTAAGTAAAGTTAAGTGCTTTTAAAGAAAAGGTTATAAAGTACTTTCTTAAGCTTAAGTGTATTATTATATATTTAACCTTTAATTAAGAGACCTATTATATTAGTAAATATAGCACTAAACTTCTTAATAGTATTAAGAATAACCTTATAGTAATAGGTTTTTAATAAAATAAGCTAGTAATAACTACTATAATAGTTAAAAAAGTAAAAAGTATATTATATACTAAGTTTAAAAAAAGGTTTAACCTTAATAAGGTTAAGATAGATTTTTTTACTTATAAAGGTAAAAGATAATAAAGTATTATAACTAATAAGCTTTATAGATTTAGCTAAGTAGTAGGCCTTATAGTAAAAGTTATTAATCTTTACCTATATAAATTATATACTTACTTAATAGTAGGCCTTAATAACCTATAATAGATAGGTGTAAATAAGTTAGTAATATATTATCTTAAGGGTTAGTTAGCACTTGCCTTTAACTATAGCTAATCTAAAGGTAGTTACTATAAGTATAGTTAGGCTATTAGTTATATAAAGAATATAGATATCTAAGATTTATTTAATAGTAGCTAAATAGGCCTTAGATTTAGTGTTAATAATATAAGTAGTAGTATAGTTATATTTAATACCTACCTTATATAACTTACCTAGGCTAAGAAGGTTAGCTAGGCTAAGAGGGCTATACTTAATATCTTTAATAGTCTAGTTAATAGTCTAAGTTAGGTTAGCTAGATCCTTTGTCTAGAAGAAAATAGTGCTATTGCCCTCTAGATACACTTAATTACTGTTTATAGTAGTAAAAGGTTAAAGGTTACTATAGACTATATAGAATATAAAGTAAGTTAATAAGTTAAATATAAGGTTAAAGTAGCCTAAATCTAGTATAATATTAGAGGTAGTAATAACCTTGTTATTAATAGCTATATATACTATATAGCTAGGCTTTATAGCTAGGCTAGTAATAGAGAAGCTACTAAAAGTACCTAAGGCTTCTTTAATAAAAACAAAGGTTAATAATAAGTTAGATAATTCTTTTTTATAATCCTTATTATAGATATACTTAGTTATATAGGTAAAAAAAGTATTATAATAAAGATAATTAATAAAAACTAGCTTTAGGTAAATAGTCTAATACTTTATAGTAAGGTAGTTTTTTTTATAATAAAGGTAAAAACTACTATAGGTAATATTTTTAGTAAAAGTAGTACCTTAGTTAGCACTAGAAGAGGTTACTATTAAATTAGTAGTATTCTTATAGTATATAATAAGTCCTATTTTCTATTCTTTATCCTAGGTAAAAGTATAAATAGTCTTAATAACCTTTGCCTAGGTAAGTGTCTTATTATTATTAGTGTAATACTTATAGGTATCTAGTAGTTATACCTTAAAGTAGTTAAGTATAAGAATAGCCTAATAGTAGTTAAAGTTTTTACTATAGAGGCTAGTAATATAGCTTTAGAGGTATTAAACCTTTATAAAGGCATTATAAAGGGTTTTATAGTCTTAGGTACTACCTTTACTAAACTTGTTAATAAAGGTAGTAATAATATCTTTAGATACCTTAGGAATAAACTTCTTAAGTGTTTTTATAAGAGTATATAGGTTACTATTATTAACTTATCCTATGTTAAGAAGCTTAATAATTATAAGGTTATAAGTGCTAATAATAATACTATAGGTAGTATTATATTTATTTTCCTAATTCTTGTACTTATTAGTATTAATTACTAGTTAAAGGACTTTATAATTAATATATTTTTTAACTCTAGTAGTATAAAGTAATATATTAACTAGCACTTACTATTATAACTAGTTTAACTTTCCCTTAAGCTTAAGGATAGACTATATAACTATTTAGTAGTTAACCTTATTAGCTATAATAGTAGTTAATTACTAACGTAAAGGAGAATAATATAATATATAATATAGATAAAAGTCTCCCTTAGACTATAAGTAGCCTAATAATATATTAAACTTTATATATTTCCCTTATAGGATAAGGGGTATATCTAAATTATTATATAAATTACTGCTGTTTATTTAACGTCTAAGTAAGAAGGGGTATAGATAAGGGTAAGAGTAATATTTTAAGTTTATTACTTGTTGTTGTTGTTAAGAGGTGACATGACTATAGTAGATAAGCAGTTAAAACAGTAATATAGGCAGTAATTACAACATTTTATAGATATTACTGTAGACTATTTAAAAAAGCAAAAAAGAAGGAGTAAAGGCAGCTAATTAATTAATCGTAAAGAAAATTAATTAGTATTAACCTAGGCCTTATAACCTGTGGGAGCAGCAAGGTAAGGCAATATCTGTTGATATTGGTGATGTATAGCTGACTAGAAGTGGGCTGCCTACAGTGGGCAGAGGCTGCCCGAGAAGGAGGTGGAGGTGGGTCACGTGACCCATGGGCTCCTCCACCAACAGGAACTGAATCGGATCGTTTTCTTTTCTTTTCTGTTTTCTTCTCTCATAGACCTAGGCAGCTCAGTCCACGTGATACCATCCTCAAGTGTTTGCCGCTGAGTCCAAATAGCTCTCAAGCAGGGTGAGCAATATATCCAAACACAGTTAATGCTTGACTCAATATCGATCATCTCTAACTAGCCATAAGACTCCGCACTCGGTCTGATACCTCCAGATCTTGATTGAGTATACGAGTTGCTAAGAGGACCTCAAATATAGCGTTTTTATTAAGCATTTGTCGCGATGCCTTCATAGCACCGCGCGGCCGTGCGGGATGTCATCGGGAGCCGGATTATTAGAGAATCCGGTGCAATCCACCCGGCCCTACTACGAAGATGTATACATCAACGTGTCAGGCAAGGCAGTCTCACACGAAGATAATTCAAGCCGTTTTCCTATGATTTTTCCCACCCGAAAAGGTCCCTCGTGACAGCATTAAAAATGCACTAGGTTGCCTGTCTTAGCTTTAGGAGAGCCAATAGTTATCCGTACTCAGTATCTGCAAAGCAAACATTGCATGGGCGTACATTCAGCTGCTTCCAGAGATCACCCTGTGGAGTTGATCGTACGAAGTGAGCCGAGGCATCCCCTTTTGTCTTGTCCCTCGGACTGTGCTACGTTTTCCTATCACTAACCTCCAAAAAGGGGCCTTATTTTGACTGCTACGCGGGTGCGACCCATATTGAGTACGACAATCCTAGCGCCGTGCCGAGGCATTCCTTTTACGCCCCACATAAGTTGTGCAGGCTTGATCAGGATTCTTGCACCTAACTGGTTCCATGTATCCAGGACGGAGATGCCAGGTTAATAAACCTTGACCAAAGGGCAGGGCCAAGGCAAACGTGTGGGTCATAAGGCCTTGGTACTGCTTTGACACTTGCTTTCACAGGGGCACTGAATTTCAACTAACGTAGATGCATAGTACGGAGTAAGCAAGCCGACATAGTAAGGGAGCTACTCTATGAAAAATGGAGACATTTTTGGGTGTGCTGCAGGCAAAAACGCTGTTATGAAGTTGTTAGAGCTCCTCAGCAATTGCATAACAGCGTTCTTGCGTGCAGCACACAAAAAATGTCTCCATTTTCCATAGAGTGGCTCGCTCACTATGCATGTACGTTACAGATAAACGTCTATATAAAGATTAGACTGTCGACACGTTTTCTACCGCCCTTGATGTATCTATAACAAAGTCGCACTCTACAGACCCTCTCAAATCATATTTCCCCAACAACCCTGACCTCATTAATTCGTTATGAGCGCAGCTGCTTCCCCAGTCATCGTGGTCGGCGGCGGGCCCGTCGGTATGACTGCCGCCCACGCCCTCTCCAGAGCAGGCATCGACTTCGTCCTGCTCGAGAGCCGATCTACCATTGTTCTGGACGCTGGATCAAATTTGGTCTTGTCACCAACTGGCCTCCGAGCTCTTAGCCAGTTCGGCATTCTGCCTGCCTTGAACAAAGTCAGCTCCCCGCTTGCCAAGTTCAGGCGGTTTGACCATCAGGGACGGAATATTGGAGACACCATGTTTTTCACTTACGTCCAGCAGAAGTGCGTGTTACATGACGCGAGACGCGTGGTTGTGGCCTTGCTGACACCCCTTCTAGCCATGGTGAATATCCGCGAGTCATCAGTCGCCATGACCTGATGCAGGTCCTTTGGGACTCTCTTCCCGCCGAGACTGCGTCGAAGTTGCATACCAACAAGAAGGTGTCACACATCCGCACAACTGAGACGGGAGTCGCCGTGCATTGTGCAGACGGAACCTCATACTTGGGGTCCATGGTGATTGGTGCCGATGGCACTTACAGTGCCGTCCGAAAATACATCGACGCCATGGCGAGCCAGGATGAGGTGAAAGACGAAGCGGCTCAGAAGGCAGCAGGACAGGAGGAGCCTTTCCTCACCACCTATCGCTGTCTCTGGGTCCGGTTCCCGATGTTGCCTGGTGTTGTGGCCGGAGATGCTAGCGAGTCTCATGGGCCCCTGGCTACGACGCAGTATTTTGCGGGCGAGGAAACAGCGGTCGTGGGCGTCTACGAGAAATTGGAAGAGCCTACACGCCATCCCCGCCGCTACACGGCCGACGATGAAGCCGCTTTTGTAGCCAAGTGGGGCCATCTGCCGCTGACCAACGGGGCCAGCCTGACTTTGCGCGAGGCTTACGCGCAGAAACAACAATCAGGCCTTGTCAATCTCGAGGAGGGAGTAGCCCCGAACTGGACCCACGGGGGTCGGGCTGTCCTTGTGGGCGACGCCGCCCACAAGTTCACGCCTTCGACCGGGGCTGGCTGCAATAACGGCATCATCGATGTTGTGGTCCTGGCTAACAAGCTGAACCAGGCCTTCGCCTCTTCCCAGGCTCCTTCCACCGACGAGCTTGCCACCGCGTTTCTCGAGTACCAAAACACTCGCCAGGAGGCAGTGGCGTCTACTTGCAGGCTATCTGGCGGCGCAACGGCAACAGCAACCTGGGACACTTTTCTACTCAAAGTCCTGGACCTCTATATTTTCTCGCTTCAGCTGGTGCAAAAGTTATTCGTCAACCGTATCGCAAGTATTGCAGCCAACACGCCGGTTTTCAACTATATCGAGGGCAAAGAGGAGATTAAAGGGGCTGTCCCATGGGCCTGTGCGATACCGTCATTTCAATCGCAAAAGGGACTTTGACACTAAGCTTCTTTTCACATAAAAGACTCCTGGTCTGTTGGATTGTATGTAATAATAAGCGCTGGGTGTAATTACGGCTTAGAACATAGATTTTCATGATTTTTTGTGTTGCTTAGTATTTAGCAGAATCAAAGTGCAGGGTCTCCTAATTCTAGGAATACCTCTATGTCAAAAGTTCAGACTGCCGTAATGTAACAAATAAGTACAGATACATTATAAATGTAAAATATCTAGGAATAGTGTTACTTGCCTATAGCAAAGAAAGTCTTGTTATAAGTACTTTACTTGTAATGTGGCTCTTTGTAAAGAGGGAAATATCTAGTACCTTTAGCATAGGTAAAAATAGGCGTAAATGCCTACTGTAGAGATAGGGCCTTACTGCTCCTGAGGGGATACTATATAATGCACGTAAAAGTGAGGGTATTTGTGATGTGGGTGTAACCCCCCTTTTCTCACTGCAACCCCCCTTTCTTCGCCCCCTCTGTAAGGAGGGGGTATTTAGCTCACAGCGCTGACTAAGTTACCACCGGGTAGTCACCTTGAGTCAGAAAGCCTACAGGTGTAGGCATAGGTGCTTGGCGCGTTTCAACCTTGATTATTTGAAGTCGCGGTAGGGTTTTACTGAGTACAGATGCGGCATATACGCAAAGTATAGCTTGTGGAGTATCATAAGACATGTTACATAAAGTCATGTAGAGGGTCCCCTTTATTGTTACGCCCTACAGCTAACATAATCAGGCTACATCTTCTATGCCTTTCTATTACTATCTATTATATACCCTTCAACTTAGAAATAAAAGACTGTAGTACTCCCTAATATTTATAAAACATATAGGTTTCTAATACAGGTAGTAAGAGTAATAGAGATACCAATAGTGATTAACAGTAATTATAAGTAGTTTTAGTGATAGTGATAGTAAGTAAAATCTGCCTAACAGGTAGTGTAGAGTTGTGACCCACGTACGCGAGACTCTCAACCTAATGAGGGGGTTAAACTTTGGCCAGATGTTATGGTAAGACTTTGGCCTAGTACTAGTTAATATAGAAGGTAGTACCAACACTACTAATCTAAACTATTAATAGCTTATTTAAGACTCTAGGTTTATAGTTAATAAACCCTCAGACAGAAATTGTTTTACACCTGAGTCGTGGTTATTGTACAGTTTCCCTACATGTAAACCTCTACTATATATTAGGCTCAGTTGTGCAGCTTCTTAGCAGATTTCTTTTCCCTCACAATCAACTTCACTACACTAGTCTCAACTAAAATGGTTTCTTCAAAAGTTCTCCTTATCCTCACTACTGCGTGCCTTGTGCAGCTTGGTGTGACTTCTCCGGAACCTGTGCCTGTGTTAGGCTGCGCTAGTTACGCACGAGGTACTCTTGGACCCTGCGCTGTAAGAATTCAGACTCCCACTTGGAAAACTTTAGGCATCGTAAGTCATACTAACCTACTTGAAGGACTGCAGTGGAGGCTGCGACAACCACGGATTCCCCTGCTGCGCCGAAGTTCCTCCCACAGAGTGTGGAGGCCCAACATGTCCTTAGCTATTTGACGAGAAATGTCACTAGGACCAAGTCAGAACTTCCGGTACAATTCACCCAGCACGATGTAGCGCAGACACATGTATCGCCACTACTAGCCACTAGTATTAAACAGTTTGATTGGTTTAGCTCAAGATTGTATAGTGATAGCAGACTTTGTACCTGTCTATAGACAGAAAGAATAGAAACGCAATCAATACGAAGGGCGTCACATTAGACCCGCTCATTCTGTGAATGCGCAAGACTAAGCCAGCCCTGTATACAGGACAAGCTGGCTGTTGTCTGTCTGTAGATTATAGCGTGACTTCTGGCACACAAGACAACACGTCAGGAGTGACTGCTACCAGTACACGTAACGTAACAACATCCGCAAGATGCTAGCGTCTACTGTTAACACTTATGTTAGAACAACTCATCAGAAACCCAAGAAGTAAGTGGCACAGGAGTGGCCCTAGCCACTCCTAGCCCCAGCCAGGAATGCTAGGAAATTGCCGGCTTTTCCTGGCCATTAGCATTATAGGGATTTCGCCGTACTCTCAAGGTTATATCCAAGGCAGTTCGTGTATTACGAGCTTCCCCCTTTTTTACCCCTTAAGCAACTAGATACAACCAGAATTAACCTACTGCTTCACCAAAATGACCCGATCGGATATCACGCCTGTGATACCAACAGAAACCAATGCTGGTAATGTGCAGGTAGACTGCGGTCAGAGTGATGAGAAAGACCTGTTAGGTAACATTAGAAGAGGTTACCGAGGGGAGTTAGGACCAATTACTGCGGCAAAGATAGTCATGTAGTCGTCCCCCTACAGGCCACCAGCAGACTTCATCTACGTAAAGAGACGAAGCGTCACAACAAGGAACACAAGACTGCAGCTAACAACAAGCGTACTTCAGAATCCCTACCTCTGTACTCCGTAATTCCATAGGATACGCTTTGCATAAGACTCTTTATACTGTTACTGCAGCTTCGCTAAGTTAGTTAGTAGGATAACACTGTAAACAAAGACAGTAAAGCTAACTTAGTTAATTACTAAAAATGCAATCTTTAGACCGGCACCGGTTACGTTGCGGTACCACAGGCGATAAATAACCCTACTAGGAGACCTGTTCCATAATGCGCGACAAAATAGACGAGCTCCCAATCACATTTTCCTTGTGGAGCACTTTTGTCAGTAAAAATGCAGCAGTAATCGCGGCGATAGGCAATGCGACGACTTTGGTGGTTCTGGCCAGCGCAGAACCCTTGTCCTCCGCACCCTTTTCGTCACTGTAAGGCCACTCGTGGGTAGACGAGAGGGCGGCGAAGCCCTTCAAGCTCAAGCCGCCAGTGATAAGCTCGCTGTAGTAATTGAGCCACAGGGAAGTCGGCAGGAGGGGCATGATGTACTCGAACAGCAGGCGGTCCTTCAGAGTGTCCCAGGCGGACGCGCGCATGGCGTCCTGGCTCTTATTCACCATGTACTCGACACGGGCGACGCGCTGGCGCTCGACGGCGGTGAACGCCTCAGCCAGCTCGGGCAGCGCCCAGGATGCGCCGCCGACGAGGCCCCCGTCCCGCAGGGCATTGACGAGCGAGGCGCACGACTCGATGCAGCTGTTGCCCCCTTGGCCGACGAGGGGATTGAACTTGTGCGCCGCGTCGCCGAGGATGATGATCCGCCCGTAGTGCCACCGCCGCATCACAAAGTGCGGCAGCGCCGTGACGCCGCTGTGCTCGAGGTTGTCGGCGATGGTGCGGAAGCGCAGCCCGTTGTCGGCGACGATTGCGTCGGCGCTGCGCGCAAGTTCGCGCCGCTTGTCCTCGTCGCCGAACCGCGGGATGTCGTCGATGGGGCACGAACGCTGCGATGCGGGCAGCGTCCAGAACCAGAAGACGAACACCTCGGCGCCGGCCCCGCCCATGCAGCCGGCCAGGGTGCCGTCGCCGCTCGCGCCGATGACGTCGCCGGGCGCAATGCCGGGCGTCGGCTTGGCCGTGCCGAAGATGCAGGCGTGCTCGCAGGGGACGGTGCCTCTGTCGCGCGCGGGGATGGCGGCCGAGTCGCCGTTGTCGTCCGCGTTCCTCCACATCTCCTTCCTGATGGTGCTGCGCACGCCGTCCGCGCCTACGACGATCTGCCCTTCAAAGACAGATCCGTCCGTGGTGTAGACCAGAGCACTTCCCTCCTGGGACTCCACCCGTTTCACCTTCTTGTTGAGGATTATCCTATCCTTGTCTTTCAAGTGCTCATACAACACGCAGAGCAACCCATGCCGTTCCATGAATATGCTCGGGTACCCGTGCCGTTTTAGCATGAGATCCTTCGAATAGCGGGTCATGATGCGCTTTCCAGAGGCGGCGTTCCGACAGATTGTTACCTCGGATGTTTGTGCTTTGGCCAGAATGTCTTGGTAGCAGCCTAGCTGCTCGAGAATCCGCAGGCCATTGGGCCAGAGGCCGATGCTGGCCCCGACGTTCGGCGTCACCGTGTCGTACGCCTCGAGAAGTACATAGTCGACGCCGATGTTCTGCAGCATCAGAGCCAAGGTGAGGCCCGTGATGCCACCGCCGACGATGATGACCTGGCGCTTTGCTTCATGGGTGGTGATCATGGCGCCGTGAAGCCCTGTCGAGCGAGAAGGGTGGGTCCAAGATGACAATAAGCAAACGTGGGAGCAAAAGAGGTGCACGTCGATAAGATGGACTTTGTCGAAATAGAGAAAGCTGCGAAGCTATTCTTATATCCGGAGGGCGGCAACGGCATGCAGTAGTTTCGTTTTGACACACCAAAATCCGTTGATGCGGGCACAAGTGCAAAAGAACCGTAAGTCAGCAGACGCCAGTGTCAAGTCTACAGTATGAAGGGAAGCCGCGGACAAGCGACAATTCCAAAGTTCCGCCCCTAAACTCAGCTCCTCCTCCCCTGTCGGCTTGGCTTCAGAAAGTTTGTGTAGTTTCCGCAGCGTGTTATCGTGATAGCCTGCACAACAGTCTCGCGAGCTCGCACCTGGACCCCACCGCTCAGGCTATCGAAAACTCTATCCGTACATTGGCTGCTATTTCCGACACGGGACGAACACTGGTTTGGAGGGGAAAATGGTGCAGGGCGGGTGGGTGCGGTGGGTAATCCCCGCAGCGGCCAGGGCATGTCCGCTTTGTTTGTCTCCGTCCCACCGTCGTCCATCATGGGTATGTTATGTTTGCCCCTCTGCATAAGTTTTACAAACACGAGAGGACTGAACCCCCCTCCCGAATACTGGCTCGTTCCTACGTCATTGGGTCCTGTCAGGAGAGCCGGACCGAAGCTTGCACAGTTACTCGTTAGGCATCGGCCAACGATTCCACTGTTATGTAGAAAAGGCCTGGGCGCCATCCATCTCTCTCGCCCGAATGTTGGCATGCTAGTTCGGATGAACACTTCTCCAGTGAATTATGGCGTCGTCGACTGTCCTGATGAGTACGGACGTCTCTATCGTATGTCCCGGCCCAGCTGTAAGCCACACACCTTTCTTGGCATGTTTGTCCTAGTCTAAGGAGCCATGCACAGCCTACAAGTTTCCCAATAACGATTTGTCCCCTCCCCGATCATTTGTGGGGGCGTGGCCTGCGGCCGTGCACGGCCAGAGAGGCCCCTTACGGCCAAGTCTGGTACCGACTGAGTATCTTGTCCACGTACGGAGTACATTTGAACACCAGTCGGAATAGAGGTGGAATAGTCGGACTAAGGAACTGCCCGGTAAGAAGTTAATAGTCGAACCCTGACTGCAATCGTGCTGCATATGCATAGTAGCCGCAAGGGGGTGCATGCACTTTGGACGGGAGGCTTTTTTGATAACGGTTGTAACAACAACAAAAAAGTCAGTTTCCCTGTTCAGACACTTGCTGAATGAGCTACTAAGTGAATTCAGAGTCCGGATGAAACATCACAGCTCTCATCTCCATTGGCGGTCCGCCAACCGAAGTTTTTCAATACCAATCATTTCAGACTGCCATATAGTCACACTGTGTACGGTGTGTTTACCATGTCTACAGATGAAAGTTTTGGGCATGACACTCAATTCGTGGTTATCGTCATTACGTGATCGGGGAACCATCTTGTCATGAGGCAAGATCGAACGAATGCAAAGGGAAACGCTATGAAACGTTATGAGGATTTTGTGAAACCTTTCCGTGACGAATGCAGCGAATGAGATATAAGTTGTGGTGAAGCCGATGCATTGTGGGTATAAGTCAGGTGAACGAAGGAAGACCGACTATTGTCGTGAACGATGGAGAGGGAATGAATCGTGATGCCCAAGTCAAGGTCAAGGGAAGATGCTGAGTGATGGCGATGCGTTACTATGGCTCCGTGCGGTCCGATGGTGACTTCTCCTCTGGCCCCGTCAATGATGACGGTTCTTCTTTCTTTTCGGTTGTACTTTGCGCCTGTGCCGTCGAAGCCGTCTTGGGGACCCGAGACTCGAGACTGCTCGCTTCCTTCGGAGGGGGGAAGTACCCCTCGGCGTCGACATCGGTACCCGGAGCGGGTTTCTGTTCGTATCGCGACACGCCCGTGAGCTCGTCCTGGGTTTTGGGGTCCTCTCCTTTCATCTCGGCGACGGGCGCCTTGGAATCGAACACGACGGCGATCTCGTCGAGCGGGGTGGCCATCCCTTGCATCGCAAGCTGGATCTTCTTCTTGGCCTCGATGCGGAAGTCCTTCGCGTCTTGGGGCGCGCCCTGGGAACCATCGATGATCCTCCCCTCGCGACCCCGGTCGTCTTTGATATCCGTACCGATCTCTGCCTCGCCCTCGAGAGCCTTGGACATCCGGGAAGCGGCACCTTTGGGGTCACTCTTCTTCGAATTCTCGGTGTGGATTTCGTCGTTCGGCCTAGGCGAGAATTCTACTTGATCTGATTCTTCCAACGGATTCTGAGCGGGTTTATTGGTAGCTTTCTTGTCGTCGTCCAGCTTTAGGGCGGTATCGACGCCCTCAGTGACCCTGCGGATCTCCTCCTCGAGGTCGGCCTCGCCCTCGTTCGCGGCCGATGCGAGCTGTCTCGCGGCCTCCTTCTCGCCGACGATGCTACGCCAAAGGTCCTCCAACTCGTCGCCCCAGCCGAGCAGGATGGCAAGCTTCCTCACTCCGGCATCGCAGGTACCCAGCTCGACGACGTCGTCGGCTCTCCGACCCATCTGCCCCACACGCTCCCTGTTCAGCAACAAACGAGGGATTCCAGACCGCGACGCCTCGGCCAGACCCGCAAAGGGGTAGACCGAAAGGCTGGTGCCCAGGACGATGATGAGGTCGGCCATGGCGGGAAGATGGGTGTTGTTCCGGAACGACTCCGGCAGGGCCTCGCCGAAGAAGACAATGTCCGGTTTCACAAGCCCGCCACAAGTGTCGCATTTGGGGACGACCTCATCCTGAACGTGCTTCTGCATGCGGTCGGCGGGGAACGCTGCGCCGCAATCGATGCAGCGCTGCGTGGCGAAACTGCCGTGGGCCTCGATGACCTTGTCATCGGGGACGCCGGCACGTCTCTCGAGGCAGTCGATGTTCTGCGTGAAGTTCATCTGCAGCAGACCCTTCTTGGCGAGCAGGGCGATGAAGGCGTGGGAGACGGTAGGGTAGAATTTGCCCGGGTAGAGCTCCTTTGCGAGGTAGTAAAAGGGTTCGGGGTGCTTGCGGAAATACGAAATGTCGAAGACGGCCTCGGCGTAGGGGAGGTTCAGGCGCGCGAGGTTGGCGTAGAGGCCAGTTCCGGGGGATCTGAAGTCGGGAACTGGAAGCTGTTAGGCTCGGTCCGTCTCTCACAAAGGACAGAAGAAGAAAAGGGGGGAGGCATACTGCCTGCGGCGGTAGAAATCCCGGCGCCAGTCATGACGGCAATCTTCTGGACCTTGCCGGACTTGATGTAATCGGCGACAGCTTCGAGGGTGCGCCCCTGCAGCGTCTTGGGTTGGACGCTCTCGTCCAGCATGGTGGACTCTTCGTTACCCATCTTCTTGCCCGGGCGGTTCGAGTTGGGCCGGCCCTGGGGGTGCTTGACGCGGCGTCGGCGGCCTATGATGGGCGAACCGGTGGTGGTGGAGTCGACGTGAGGAGGGGGTTGATAGAGGGAGGTAAGATTCTTGATGCGCCTGTCGTTACTGTTGTGTGGTCTCGAAACAGAGTAACAGAGAGATGTCCTCGATAAGTGCAGTGTGATGTATGTCTAGGTAGGAATACTGTTGCCTACAGATAGAAACGCAGGTGGTGGTGATGGAGTTGGGAGCAGCTAACCTGACTCTCTGCCTTGAGAGTCCTACCAGCCGTGAACTAAAAAACTAAAATAAGGCGTTGGTCCACCACATTGTGTGTGTTACATCATGCTGCGACACCCCACCCCCGCCATCGGCACCCTTGGAGCTCTTATCGCCGCCCTTATCGGGCCCGGGAATAATCAGCCAGAGGTTTCTAGAGCGCTGGGGCTTCAGCAACTCTTCATTGGACGACTCGTCCCCTCTCTGTTACTTGACCCCGAGGCTGCCATCATCAAGTCGTCACATCGCATAGGCCGACGACTAAGCATCAGTCTAAGGCAATATGCATTCGACCTCGAGAGGAACGGAGGCGAAGGGAGCCGTGTAGACCAACACTGCTTGCGACTTGAATACCGAGATCCATTTAGATGATGTCCATCCGGCATGCAGTTGCATGATGGGACAGCTTCACTAAGGTACGTAGTTAAGGCGGTCCCTCTTAAGTTCCCAGGGGTACACAATTATAGCAGCTCAGTCGGAAGAACACAGTATAAGTATCATGCCCAGTACTCAACACTATAACTCCTGTTGCTTCACCTATTATACCAGCGATGCCCACCCATGTCTTCATGCCCTGCTTGTGACTGGCAATACTCCAAGATAGCGCTTTCTAATATTTATTATGACGGGGGTCGCGTCAATTGAACCACAATAGTATTAAAATTTGTCCGTCAAAGTACGAGATAATGTCCTATAAACCTCCTTCCGGCTGATTGACGCACGAGAATTCAAAAGAGCTGGTCTCCAGGCAAACGATACAAAAAGACGAGCACAGTACCACTAATGGACATCATCGTCGCCGCCATATACGGCAGCCCAATCCACACACCTCCTACCGCGTTTCCAGCCCTCAGCAAGCCGGAGATGATGGGCGCTGAAACGAGCATACTCATCTGCTCCATCCAGCTGATGGCTGTGTTGAGCGTGCCGATCGTGTGTGGCTCCACGACGGCGTTGAGCACCGCTCGGCAGAGGTTGGCATAAGAGACGCCGAAGGAGAAGATGATGAGGGCTGGACTTGTGTCAGTCGGTAGGTCTCTGTCGAGGAAGTAGGGCTGCGGCGGGGAGAAACGAAAATGGATGTAACAAAGGGGACACGCATACCGATAACAAAAAACCAGGGTGTGTATGCGACTGCGACCATGAAGCAACCGAGAGACAGGAGGATACCGGTCATCCGGACGAGCCAAAGGTCTCGGGTAAGAGGATGCACGGCCGTACGCTTCGTGATATACCAGCCCGCCACCGGGAGGATGGCAAGCAGCATGATGATGCGGGCGATTACCGCTACAGTCGAGACGAGGGTGGCCTATTTTTACTCATCGTTCGCATGAGGCTTGCTACCAGTACAACATCAAACATCTGAAGAGAGTGTGTATTCACCTTTGCCCAGGACCAACCAAACAAGTTATGGACGTACTGCGACATTATCTCCTCCTTGACATACTTAACGATAAGCGTCAAGTTGAAGCCAGCCACCAGAGGAATCACCCTCCGAGATTTGATTATAAAGTTATAGATGTGGCCCATGTCGTTTCTGAACGCAACCATGATTTGCTCCATTACTGTGTGCTGATCCTTCGTGCCATGCTCGGGCCGGTGGAGGGTCTGCTCGAACTCCTCATCAGCGGCCCGGCGCAGCTCGAGCGTCTCGGGAATGAACGGCGGCAGACACGTTCCAATAATCAAGAGAATGTTGCCAATTGCGAGAGGCATCCATGGGCTCTTGACTTGCAGATAGGCACTGAGGGGGGCGACGAAGAGTTGTCCACCGAGCGCGACTGCTCCGATCCTGAAGTAAACCTTTGTCCTATGAAGTGTCAGTCCCGTTACCATCACGACGTGGGTGGTGGGCCACATGATCATACAAGTTCGAAACAGGGACCACATCGGAAACCATTGTCCAGACCATGGCCGCAGCCATTCCTGCACCTCCACCGATAAACTGGAACGCAGAACCAAACCACACGGTCCAGAGGGGCAAGACGTCGGGCCACAGGACTGGCATCGATTAGCAATGTTTCCGGGTGGCTGGCGATGACGACCCACGCGGCTGTAGCCTCCACGTGAACTCTAGCATGATGCCCAACATGGCTAGTGATAAAACGGGCCGGCGCCCATACTTATCAGCAATGACGCCGTAGGGGATAGCCGTGAGCAGTGCTGTGTTCAAGATCAACATGGTTCTATCAGGCAGAATTGAGGGTTTAGACTCACGCGGTATGCTGCCGAATGAGGTTTGCCAGCCCTTGATCATGGCGAGCTCTCCTTGGACCTCTGCTGACTTGCAAACATTGTCGTGGACGCTTTGTGAGATGATGTGACCTGGATAGTGCTTGTGACAGATGATCTCCTCCATCAGCTGGAACGTCGGTGGAATCTGGAGGTATGCACCGATCTCGCCGATAAGAATAAAGACCATTGCTAGGCCGATGATCTTGACTTGATAAGCTCTCGTCGGCGCAACGGTAGAAGGCAGATCGTGGGTCAGAAGCGGCGCATCCTCCTCGGGTCTCGTCCCTTCTTCGTCGGCCGCCATTTTGCAAACTTGTTTCGTCTTGGCGCCTGCAATTAGCAAGAGATCTGGAAACGCTAGAGTATTTTTGCCTGAACCTAACTAGAGAGAGTGGCTTGAAAACACTCCTTGAGAAGGAGAGATTGCATATTTAGCACGGTCTCAACTTACGGAGACGAACTGGGGCGAGACATTTGTATCTGCTGCCAGCTCCCCCCCCCCCAAAAGAGGATTTAGGAGCTTCATATTGCCTATCTAATCATAGGTCCCTGCAAATCTTCAAGACGAGCTGGCCAACCCTTGTGCCGACAACCGTACGCTGGCAAGTGCGAGTCAGCGTAGCGTCGGTGAGTTAAACGCTGTGGACGATTCTTCCGCTCTTGGCTCCGCTTATCGCAATGTTGCAACGACATCCCCGGCCAGCATGCTAACCGGCCATGGGATGTGGTTGCTCCCGAGTTGTCGGTAATCCGAACCATATATCCGTACGAAGCGTACAAATGATTATGCGCTTCGAACGCAGTGTCAGAGGCCACTTCCCCCGTTGCCATTCTGCTGGCGCTAATGACAGGAGCGTTCTGGTGACGACGCACACCGTTGTAGTCGACATTTCCTTAGTCACGACTCGGTATGCCGCGCCATCTCGTCTTCTTCGTCCCAGACACATGGTCTAAGAAACTTTGTTCTCAAGATCTAAGGCTCAGAAGTAACCTTCGTCCCAGATAGCTGGCCTCGGCACTCAGGTCCTGAGAGAAGAACCAACCAAAAGGGCGCTCGTCTTAATCTCCGACTGTATGCATATCAGCGGCTAGTTACCGGTCACGATCACGCGTCGGATCCGAACAAGGATGCCGAGTAGTTGGGAATTGGTATGTCAGCCCCATAGCTTATTCGTGTTTGGCGTTGTCACGCTGGCAGGTGTTCGATCAATGGCAGCGGCTCAACCCGTCATCTTGGCTGATTTGGATCTGTATTTTTATGACTAAGCCGAGGGCCGCGGGGTAATGAACAGCAAACGCGCTGCGTATGCGACGGAGCTACCCCGCCAGTCCACTGCACTGACCTTCAACACAATAACGATAACGGGACGCCTCACCACACAATGGCTGCAGTGACCAAGACCAGCCCTCTGGTGATACCCCTTCCACCTGTTTCCTTCCACAATATGTATTTGAACTAACCCGTGAGTCATAATAGTCTGAGGATGAGGCTCGTTGGATCAAGCTCGTCAAGATCAACTACGAGGACCAGAACGGTCAGGCTCGCACCTGGGAATCCGCCGAGCGCCGCACGCGGCCCAAGAACGGCGAGATCGACGGCGTCGGCATCGTCGCGATCCTCGAGAAGCCCACGGGGCCCGAGATTATCTTGCAGAAGCAGTTCCGGCCGCCCATCGACAAGGTCACCATCGAAGTCCCCGCGGGGTTGGTCGACGAGGGCGAGACTGCCGAGGAGGCCGCCGTGCGCGAGCTCAAGGAGGAGACTGGCTACGTTGGGAAAGCGTCCGAGACGACGCCCATCATGTTCAATGGTGCGTTTTTCTTTCTTTCCCATTTCTCAGCTGATAGGCTTTGCTGTTACCGCGCGGCTCTTGTGCTAACTTTGCGGCCATCCCCCCCTAGACCCTGGCTTCTGCAACACGAACCTCCGCATGATACACGTCACAATCGACACCTCTCTCCCTGAGAACCAAAACCCCAAAGCCGAGCTGGAAGAAGGCGAGTTCATCGAGGTCTTTACTGTGCCCCTGGCCAACTTTTGGGACGAGTGTGTCCGCTTTGAAGCCGAGGGCTACGCCATCGACGCCCGCGTAGGGACCATAGCTGAAGGCATCGAACTAGCCAAGAAATTCAAGCTGTAATGCCGCTTTGGTGTCTCACGTCCCTCAAATTTTTGCGGTTACCATGTCGTCCATTTCACAACTTGCCCTCGCGCCTTAGACCCTCCCACAGGGCCAGCGCAGCAAGGCATTTCGCGTCCCTCGCGCCCTCGCGCCAGAGATCCTTCATGGCCACCAGCTTCAGCGTGATCTTCTCGCCGTGATCCCGTAACCCCGTCAGCTTCCCGGTCCAGTCACTCAGCTGCCCGCGCGGGATCCTCTTCTCGTGACTGTACAGCGTGACGAACTCGTCACACCCACCCGCCGAGGGGTACACGGCCTCCGCCAGACCCTCGCCGGCCTCATTACCCGCTGATCTCCCTGCTCCGGCGAGCTCGCTGAGACAGGTGAGTTCCGACTCGTGGATATCCAGGTCCAGCTCTTCTTTAATTTCCTTGGCCGCCGCGCCCGCGAAGCTGCCGCTGTCGTCGACCATGCCCGCGGGCAGCTCCACAAACGACAGGCTGCCGACGGGCACACGCGGCTGGACGGTCAGAACAACGTAGCGCTCGTCGCTATCGAACGGCGCGTCGTCAGGGATAAGCATGACGAGCATCCCCACGCTGGGGCCGCGGAGGAAGACACTGGCCGGGAGTCCCTCTCCAGCCCCGTTCTTCACGTCGGCAGTGGCTTTCAGGAAGCCGACGCGGCCGGAGCCAAACAAATCGAAAGCTTGGACCGTGACGGCGCGCAGCTGGTACGGGTCCAGGTGGAACGGGTGATGTTTGCTCTTGGCTTGTAGGTCCAGAGATCTAGTGAGGCCCTTGACCCAGTTCTGGTGGCTATATTAGCCAGTACCTAGAGAATGTCGGCTGAAGACTTCATCTTACGTTGAACGGCTTGAAAGCCAGCAAATGGTCTTCCGATAGGCCATCGGGCAGCTTGACCTGCAGGCCGCTGTCTTTCAACGTGATGGTTGACATTGTGCGGGGGGTCAGGGAAGAGTGAGAAGGCGAGGTGCAGAATTGGAAAGCACGAGGTTGCAAGCAGTAAATCATCGGCTTTCGGGTAGTATTTGTAACCACTTGGCGGAACCAGAGCGCGGCGATTGTCATCTCTCTTTTTTTCACGAGACGCGCATGAAGTCAGTCAACCTCGTGGTAAACCTAGCGTGGATGTAAGTGCCAAAATTGACGTCAGGCCAATGAGGTCGTTCGGTGGTTTCCAGCAGGCAGGTAGGCACCAAAGCACCCAAGCGCCAAGCACTGCCTCGGAGCGACTCTGCTGAACAAACCTGCACTTCTGCCTAGATACCTACCCAGCATCTTCAACATTGCTAGTGGGCATCAACGTAAATGCCTTGGAATGAATTCTTTTATTTCGATGCTAAATCAAAATCGTGAGGTATCTTTTTCTCTGCCCAAATGCTGTATACAGCTAATATGCGATTGATGTGATGCACACGCATTATCCTGCAATCAGTTGCCTTCGATTCCATAGAGTTTACAGCCGCTTCACGGCTACTAGTCGTGCCAAAGTTCATCCAAGCGCCGGCAATCTGCTGTCCGTTCATTCAAGAAAGTTTTTTAGGTTTCCACCGATGTTCTTCAAATCCAACAGAAACGTGTCGTGGCCAAAGAAACTCATCTCCTCGCTCAGCTCAAGGTGCGCAACATTCCTGTTGCCCGCGAGCTTCAGAGCCTCCGCGACTTCCCTCTGCTGCCAAGCCGGAAAGAGGATGTCGCTGGCCACTCCGATGACGAGAGCCGGGGTATCTCTCAGGGGTGCCAGGCCTGCGATGAGGTCTTCGGGCGGCCTGGAAGACACTTCGCCAGGCTGGTCCGAGGCACCGCCGTTGGACTCAGGCTGCTCCTCATATGGCTTCTCAGGGAGAGTGAGGCTACAGGCTGCATCGTTGCGCGTAGGGCCGACTCCGGACTGCATGAGCTTCTCGCGCTCTGCTCTTCTCGCGCTGGCAGCCATCTGGTTTTCGCGTCCAAGGTCAAACAGATCCATAGCCTTGCTGACATATAGCAGACTATTTGGATCATATGTCAAACAAAACTTCTCACCCGCGTGATCCAGATAAGTCTCGATCAAAAAGTCAGGGCATAGCGCAGGGGGCTTGCTGGGATCCGCCCTCCGCCTGCCAAAACGTTGCTCCCATTCCGGACCCGACCGATATGTGACCGTCGCAATCTCTCGCGCGAGTTTCATGCCAGCGTGAGGCGGCACTCTACCGTAGTAAAAGCCTCGATTCCAATTGGGATCCATCATCAACACCTGCCGTTGGGTATGGCGCATCGCAATACTGTACGGGTGACTCCTAGCGCAACCGCTAATAGACACGATTCTGCCAACGCGGTTGGGAAAGAGGACGCCAGCAGCTAGAGATTGCATGCCACCCATGCTGGATCCAACACTGGCATATAGTTTATTGACCCCTAACCCGTCAAGAAGGCGGAACTGTGCGCGCACCATGTCCTCCATGGTGAGGATTGGGAACCTGGTCGCATACCGCTGGCCGTCCGCAGGGTCGATGCTGCTCGGCCCCGTCGATCCGTAGCAGCCGCCGATGACGTTTGTGCAGATAACGTAGTATTTGTCGGTATCCAAGGCCAGTCCCGGGCCGATGAACTTTTCCCACCAGCCAGGCTCGGGATTACTCTCGGTCGAATGCGCATGTGATGAGGCCGAGAGGCCGGTGTGAAGCAGTATGGCATTCGACCTGTCGGCATTCATATTGCCCCAGGACTCGTATGCGATCTCGAATTCGGGTAGGACGCCGCCCCAGTCAAGCAGCAAGGGGTCCTTGCAGTGGTATGTTTCCGTCGCGCCGGCCGTGTAAGAGGGCTCGGGACCGCTCGACTCGTATCTCGCCTCGAGGGTCGCAGATCGGTTCTCCAAAGCGTCCAGACACGGGAACGCCATAGCGGGGTTCGAGGCATCGCCGGGGCTGTTGGAAGCCTTGCGGGCCGGTTTCGAGGTGAATCGGCGGGCGTGTTGACGGCTGCCGAGATGCGTCGCTGCAGCGTTGTTGGGACTCCGATATGCGGAGGGAACTTGTACGCGCGAAACTGGTGCGCGGGCCTGGCGAAGGGCCACCGAGGCTAGTCTTTGACACTTCATGGCTGGGATTAACAATCGCAGCTGTAAAAAAAAAAAGGCCAAGATTGTATCTCGGGGGGGCACCTGTAACAGGAATATCTAGGCCGTCCCATCGGCAACTGGTTTGTAAGCTGCCGGAGCTATAGCGGCAAAGGCCCCGTCGTCGGCTGTCGGTGGCTGTCGATGGTGTAATCTCACGTGATGACAAGCACTGTTTCTCTTATCGATAAAGCAGAGGTGTGTTATCAGGCTACCTATTTCGGTCTTGACTTCCAAGAACCCCACCATGGGTCGATCCACTTCCCCACTGACGTCAATTTAAAGACACGCAGTTGGTACCTCCTATTCACTTGTAGTCACAGGTACGGATAGTGATACGAATACACATAAGCTCGGTGGCCCAGTCCTCCGTGCACCGACCATGAACTAAATATTGCCCGATACCTGAACTGACGTCGCCTCCCCACGTAACGATTGAGCAGCACTGTGATATCCCTACGAGCCAACTTCTCTTACCCCTCTTTCCACGCGATTTAACAGATACCCACGGTACCTGCTTCGCACACATGTCGCTTTTCTCCTCCCTGCATCAATACGTCGGAACCTTTGCGGCGATCGCAGCCGGTGCTATCATTGCCAAAGTCGTCGGCAACATGCAGTCCGACTTGCAGAATCCCGAACCTGAGCGGGTGCCCCAAGAGCCAGGCAACTATAAGCCCACTCCCATCGACGTTGTTGTTGTTAGGATCATGCTGGAGAAGGCATCCACGTTACCGCCGGAAATCATGGATATCATCATCGACGAAGCCGAATATTGGGCGCACTCGGAGGCCAGCATATCTACCAATCTTCGTGTCGTCGGCACTACACCCGAAGAGAACAAGCTTCTCTTGAGATGCCCACCGATCGGCTTCCGCGACTTCAAGAAAGTCGGCGCAGCGTTCAAGACCGCCCCTCTCCCACCCAAGTCGGGTGACGGGTCCCCCGTTACCGAGCCCCTCCGCAGTTTAACCCTGCTCGAACCCATGTCAAGCCCCACCGAGATGACCTCCGAGGCCCCAAGAGAATACTTTACAGGATCGATGGAGCGACCGCCCATGCTGACCAACCCCGTCCGCAAGATCGTCTTCAAGATTCGAAGCAGAGACCAGGGCTGGGGCGGTGGCGTCGCCGACAAAGAAACCTACCGCGGATCCTGGTCGTGGTTTGAGGCGGGTCTGGAGAAGTTCGACAAGGATCGGAAATGTAAGCAAGAACTATATCCAAAGAGATCCGAAGGGTGTACTGACGACCTAGGCGACGGTTCTTGCAAGGCGTCTGCCCCGGCCCAGGAATTACAATCCGAGAACATATCTGACGGTGAAGAGCCGACCCTTTGCACGTGCGGCCTGCAGTCGATATACCCCCCCGTCGAACAGCTGCCCCATGGGGAACTTGCCTACCACCATCACATGCATCCGCTCGAGAACCTCAAGATCCAAAACAACAAGACTGCGCATAGACTATTCCTGAACCACGAGGTCGTCTGGTCCTGGTCTGACGATATCCACCCCAATTCACCCAAAGCCGACCAGCTGGTTGAGATGGGTCGCGGTAGGGGCACTGGAACTGGCAAGTTCGTGCGCAGTCTGAAGCTGGGCGATGTGATCACGGTATGGGGCAAGGCGCGGTTTGGTGGCTGGGCCAACCACATTGAGAGTGTGAAGGTCGAGATTTACTGGGCGGTGTGAGCCGTGGGTTTTGCTGTACTTGACTTTTCTTCCGCCGAGAAGAATGCACAACACTCCCCTAATGCACTGTATGAATGACGATTAAACAACGATGGAAATGATGCGTAAGTTGAATGAGTTAAGATCTGGTCTCCACAACCGTCCCAATCCCGGCTTGTGGTAAACCTGTTGGGCTGTTTCGGGTACAGTTATCTGACAGTCCGCAGCCTCGTACAAACGCATTTCCAACCGCCCGGATCAGCAAGTTGCCTTGTTGGCCATTCTGCAGATGGAACAAAGCAGTAACTGCGCCTTATATTTCAAGTCCATAAGTTCCTGACGCGTTACTTCGTGCATTAGTTGAAGGCTATGAGCTGGCTGGGGAAGAGGAAAGAAGTCGTCGGTGCAGTTCTTATGTTGCAAGATCTCGTCGGTAGCCCGGAATCTGATGCTAAGAAGGCAACGGCATTCGTTCGAGATGCAAGAAGATTCTTCTTCAAGCACAGCCACGTCATTAGCATCGCTCCTTGCCAGGTCTACTCTTCAGCAATCGTATTTTCGCCTGAAAACTCTGTCGTCAAGCAGTCTTTTTTATCAGAGTTACCGGAGTGGTTACTTACAAAGCCTGAGACTGAGAGCGATTGGGACTCGGTCCTACACGCCTGGGTTTTCAACAACAAGTCTCAACAACATTGTTACATTCCGAAAAGGTTCGCATGGACGTCTTTAAAAAAAAAAATTGGTGTCACAAGAATAGCTCGTACAGAACTGCGTCCCATGCACAAGTCGTAGCGAGAAGCTCATGCACGTCATAATGTGCAGTTCTCAGAGGATGAAAAACTCATCGGCTTCTACACCACCGAAGATGAAATTGCTTTGTATGATGCCGAGTCTGGGGACCAGCTGAGAACAATCACGCCACCTCCGGATCAAGAGTTTCCAGCACACTTTCATATTTTTTCCAGGGAATTTGCTCATGGCCATCTGTACGCCAATAAGAGCAATCGGGGAAACCTCCTCTGATCCAATTCGCACGTTGGACAATAGCAAGCCACCTGATCCCCTTGATAGTCTCTCAGAGTGTTATCTCGGTGTCAAATTGTGCTCATTGGATGAGCCAACTCACAAGCAGCATCAAAAGCCGGTCATGAATCCAATTGGTCCATTATTTCCCACACAAAGTGGACTGTCTATGGCACCGCGGAAACTGGATCGTTTCACGAAAGCCATGTTCTTACCAAGCTGCCACTTTCCATTGGACAGAAAGTACATCGGTCTACTTGAGTACCGCGCAGTAGTCAAAATTTTTGATACCGACCTTATCATGAAGAACAATGCGATCAGATTTTCGCCGCCAAGTCCGGCCATGGAGTTCCATTTCATGTTTTGCCGCCATAGCGTGGCAACAAATCCATCAAACCAGGAACTTCCTCGTCAAGGTTTGGAGCAAGGGCAATAGGAGACATTCAACGTCGATGCCCTTGCCAAAGACAAATTCGCTTGATATTTTCGGGTATCTAACTGCTGCGCTTTGCTGGAGTTCTGACAATGTCTACTTGGCAGCCGCGTTCGAAAACGGGCTTGACATCTACACTGAAAACTCGCAGTCAGCTTCCATGGTGAAGATATCTAGTTATTCGGATGTAAAGCTAGATGAAACCGTTTGGGGACTCTGCTTTTCGCCCTGTGGGCGCTATCTTGCCAAGACAAATTATAAGACGGCTCAACTTAGGCGTAAACGCCTTCGTTCGCCAAGTGGTGTCTAATGGGGCCGGTCGCTCTGCTCCCTCTGTCCGCACCTCGTCCCTCGGTGCTGCCGTCTGGGTTTATTGTCACCCTGTTCCATGCGTTTCTGACGATTGTCGCTCCATTCACTTGATCCAAGATAAGAGGCTATTCACACCCGATTGCCAATCACTGTCTAGGACAGCTTTGAACTACCTACGCTTCGCTCCGGTGTCATGGCCTGCGGCCATACCCTCATGTCACAAAGAGAATGGGGGATTAATACCATTGTCAATCAGTCACATCACATTTAATCCATTTCACCTAAGTCACTCTTATTACAAGTCCAATTCCGTCCAGTCACTTTAATTCACCACGATGCAATCACTTTAACAAGCCAGAACTCCAACAGTGCATTCACCATTTCATTACTCAAACTACACCTAGTCACACATTTTCGCCGTTTCCATTTCAATTCAATCAATTTCTCACGACTCTAGTCTATTCACTCTACCATGTACTCTAAAAATCAATGTCTCCGTCATCCAACACAAGCTCCTCTTCCGTGTACACTGCTCCAACAGGCTGTCGATGCACTACCGAACACTGTTTGTCCACTGGAGTATAGGGGGGCAGACCCCCTGATCCTGCCTGCTCTCACCGATCGGCTACATTGAAGCTCATCCTCACAAGATCCTCCGGCCTCCACTCTCCGCGAGTGTACGATCCCTTCATCTGCTGCGCGTTCTGTTTGTGCCACACTAAGCCTAACCCTAACCGTCTACGACTGCAGCTGCGGCAGACAGCGAGATAATAAATGGCCGCACGAGCCAGAGGTAGTAGGCGATGAGTCGGCCGAGGGAGGGCGGGAGGAAGCGGTGGATCAGTCTGTATTCTTTGCGGTTCCGGAGGCCCTTGTGGTAGAATGTGTAGAGAGACACGAGGCCTTTTCGCACCAAGATGTTGCGGGGCCCGCCGTAAGGGGTGTTGTCGACTCGGAGCGAGATGATTTCCGGCGCCCTGGCTGGTTGGCTGCAGGTAACGTGGATAGCTGCCAAGATGGCACGCAAGAAAGCGTTAATAGCTTGCTAGTACCGGCGGATAGCGGTGTTGTTAGGACAACCGTCAACAATGAAGTTTCTGAACTGCGAGTGCTGGGCAGCCTCGCTTTCCTCAAGGAAGTGGGCGCCCGGCCTGGCCCAGTGCGTGTTCAGTTCGTTCTGGAGGAAGTTGTACCCGGGTCGCAGGTCGAAGACATCTTCGTGGATATCATCATGGGCAGGCAGAACGGGAATGAGGCCAACTTGGCCGCTGTATTGGGATATCTTGGCAATGGTGGGAGAGTGCTGCGAGGATCTGTAGCCCGAAGCTGGGACTTCTGGCCCCAGCCAGCCAGCAACTGTTTTTGGTGGTCCTCCTTGCAAGTTGTGTTATCTCGGGAAATGGTTCGGTTGATTTTGGACGAGAAGGCTTGCGATGAGAGCTCAAGGCTGGGGCGCCGGCTAAGCCTTGCACCGGCAAGGTTCCTCGAACCCGCGACGCCACGGCCTTCCTCAGAACTAGACGCATATTGAGTGTAATTGAGGGGTTTTGAAAAGGTTACCACATCTCTTGTGTTGGTAGAGCTGGTGTAAGGTAACCATATATTCGCCAGCACGGTTATTAGGATAGCAGGACGAAGGCAGATCAAGTTTCCCGAGTAGTTCCCATTCTTGAGGAGCGGGGTCTTTCTGGCGCCTGTATCCTGGCATTTTAATAGCCGTGGCTGGGTGATACAATGAATGGTGTTCCTTGATGACCAGACTGCCTGTGTCTGGGATGGCATGCTCCCAACCAAGCCCCTTAACTACATGGAGGCCTCCATGTCAACAAGGCCTGCAATGCCCCAATGAGGCATATCAAGTACAATCCATGGCAGACAGAGGCGTGTTACATCTGTTTACAATTTGTAATCAGCAGCAAAAGATGCATTGGAGGACTCGTTGCCCCCCCCCCCCCCCCCCTTTTTTTTTTTTCCTTGGAGCAAGAAATCAGCCTTTCAGGGCTTCGTATTAGGGATAAACGGGATCTGTTACACCAAAGATAGCGAACATAGACATCGCCTCTTTGGTTCTGTTCGACATGAGGGTATTTCCTACAGTCAGACCAAGAAACCGCATCGCTTGGCCCTATGGATGGTTATGTGGGCTCGGACTCTGATACTATCAAAAACAACAAAACCGAAGGCCGGCATTACGATGCGTACAGCCGGGCTGACTAGACGTGATTACTCACATTTGTACCCGAGTCGAAAGACCCGAGAGCGCGTAGCCAGGTTCGGGTATCCGTTGGCAGACGTGTGGATACCCGGGTACCCGTCGGCATTGCCATTCCTGGTACTGACAATCGGGTATCCAGGGAGAGTTGCTCGCAATGAGGCCCCGAGATTGACAAATCGCATTGAAGTGATGTACAAAACCGAAGCTTTTCCCCAAATTATTCAGTTACGAGCGCCTGGAGAACTTTACCATCTTGATTTTAACAAACAAAGCACTAACACGGAAGCACGAAAACGAAATTGAGCTAGGTATTTCAACACGCCAACAAGATACTACTTTCCAAAATGAGGGCCATCCAGGTTCTAGGAAGTAAGGCATCACCGGAAATATTCTTGAATCAATCTTTGCCCAAGCCTGCACTTCAAAAATCAGACATCTTGATACAAGTCACTGCCGCCGGCGTCACCGGCGACGAGATCCTATGGCCCGAGCTTTACGAGACTCCTTTTCGGATACCAGGGCACGAACTATCCGGAACCATATCCGAACTTGGCCCAGAGTATCGCGGATCTCTGGTGATCGGACAAGAAGTCTTTGCCTTCACCGAGGCAGATCGTGGGCAATGCCACGCCGAGTACGCCATCTGCTCTGAAAACGAGGTTGCTCCCAAGCCTGCGTCCATCTCCCATCTCGAAGCGGCAGCGCTCCCGATCCCGCTTCTGACTACATTCGAGGCAATCCTGGATCATGGGAAGGTCAGACCCGGCATGAGGGTTCTTATCACGGGAGCTTCAGGCGCGGTGGGCAGAATCGGTGTCCAGCTGGTCGCCCGGCTTGTCGATAGCCACGCAATCGCCTTGGCTTCGTATAAAAACCACGATGCTTTGCGGAATCTTGGCGCTGACGAGGTGATCGACTACGCCTCAACTGGCTGGGAGTCAAAGGTCGACGCCGTGGATGTCGTCTTCGATACTGTCGGTGGAACAGTCTTGAAGAAATCTTGGGAGACTGTGAAAGAGGACGGGTTGATCGTCACTGTTGGAGACCCGCCTCCCTCCTGGGCATTTCAGGATCTTCGGCCTGACGAGGCTTCCAGTCGACCTTATGTGCGGTACAAATACTTCATCGTGGCTCCTAATGCCGAGCGACTTCGTCAAGCTTCAGAAATGATCGATACCGGCTCGCTCAGGCCCTTGATGGTGAAGTCATTCGGCTATGAGGAAGCAGAGAAGGCTTGGGCGTATGCAAGACAACGAGGTCGAGAGAAGAAGGCTGTGATTTGTTTCTTGTAATTTATGACTACTTCAGGATTGGGCTCTAGAATATGAGAGCTTGATATCCGATGAACAGCTTTGTTCATAGCATATTATAGCATATTTTCATTGGCATTGTATCTCGTTCGCGATGATGGACTTTCTATCAATTTCCCTAGGTATGTAGAAAAAGTCCAAATAGAGCTATTGATATGAGATTTTGTCTGTCCATTGTCCTTCAAGATTGATTAGTTGTCGTCTAGACAAGGTCATTTCCCATCCATTCTTCAAATTGAGGACCAAGATCCTTAAGGCTGTACCATCCACAAACATCGTCCATTGAGCCGAAGGAAGAAAATACGTCGCTTTCGTTCGTTGGCGGCTCAGTCTGAGAGCCAATCTCTCCCCCGCTCGCGGACAGACTCGGCACGCCGCACGACTTAGGGGTGTTGCTGGTGCTCGTCGCCTTGGAACCCACCCTCAACACATGTCGGGCAATGGTCTGGATCTCCTGCAAATTTCTTGCTGTTCTTGGCCATATTTCGCCCAACGTCTTGAGGCAGCCAATCGACATCCGAATCTGGTCACGTGCGATGGACAACTCCTTACCTCTGAGTAAAAAGTTGCAAGCAGATAACAATGCCAGCGTCCCTTCACTGGTCATACAGGTGACGAAAGGCGAGTGGTGAAATGGTCGGACCGGTAGCGCCAACAGACGGATTTGTGCCTCCACTGATCGCAAGACTCTAACGGTATGGATGTTAACGAGTTCTGGCTTGGTGGTCTCCTCGGGTGGTTTTCTGGCGCAGCTGGAGACGTTCTCCACGGGGTTGAATCGAAGGTCCGACAGCGGCCTATGTAACCCAATAGTCGCGCTACAAGACCGGCATCAAAAATTTACGTCCATTTAACTTGAAGGAGCAGAAGTCAAAAGAGAGATGACTCACACATTTGTGACCAAGTGTGCCTGGAACAAGAGCTCGTCGATTTCTCCAGTTTTCGTCATAACCTGTTTGCGGTCTCGAGGTAGTAGAAGCGACCATCCTTCGATGATTGAGTCGGCATTCTGGATGATTTGTGCCGAATCTTCTCTACTGGCGACCTTGGAAGTTGTGGAGATCGCCAACGCCGCACATCTTACGGCAGTGATGAGGTAGGCGAATGAGGAGAATGAGATGTCTTCGGAAGCGAATTCGCGGCAGTCAAAATCCTCGAGTGTCTTTGGCTCGGGGATTTCCTGTCCTCCGGTAAGTTTAAACATCGTTCCGTCTGAGTGCCATGTTGTAACTTACTCCGGATTCGTATTCCGACTCTTCACAGGGCAGCTCGACAGTGGCTTCGATATCCACAACCATAAAGTTCATGGTGCCCAAGGTTCCGGCGTAATATGCATCGATGATATATAGCTCCCACCACGTTCGTCTCCAGCTCTCAGTCAGGACAGGATCCCCGCCTCCGTGAGCCCCTGCGAACTCTTGTTGAAACATCTCCATGTCAAGTGCCAGGCGGACTGCACAGCCTATTTGCTCCTTGGCCTCAACTTTGTAGTCATACCAGAACAGCATCACGGAGTACAATAGTCGGCACTGCACCATGACTGGGCATGCTTGGTTTGATTGGGAGAAGGAGTTTTCCAAGTCATCTCTGAGCGGAATCGACCATTCTCGGGCAACGTAGACATTTCCAACCAGGCGCATGACAGCAATGAGAGGTCTCAAACTAGTCTGCCGGCTCGGGTCCCGACATGACCTTAAAAAGTGCCATCGAGGGACCAGAAACGGATGGAAGTTGTGGAAACATTTGTAATAAGAGCTGATCAGAGGGTCACTGTCGACGTTGTCAAGTTGTCTCTGTGGAACGATGCTTGATACCGTCGGAGCAGGGTTGTCACTCCCGAGGTTGGTGTCATCGAGTGAACTCGGGCCATGGGTGAAGCTGTCATTAGCAGGCCGGGATCCGGGTTCCAGGGTCGGCTCGATGCTCACTCTGGATTGAGACCTGGAGCTATCGACTGATGTATCGTTACTTGCTGCCGCAAGGCGCTTGCGTCGCTCTGCGAGTGCGGCGCGATCCAGACCGCCCCGGCGCGATGGAGCATATTTGCATTCCGTAGAGGCACTGACGCAGCGGTTGCACTGAGGTTTCTGCCCGTCACATTTCAGATGGCGTGAGCGACAAGGCAGACAAGCCAAGGGAGAGCGCGTAGCTCCGCCGTTCCGGTGTGATGGAACGCCGTTAGTGTTCATGATGGTCGACGGTAATCAATTGGTGAGCTTGTGATTAGGAAGGGTTCGGGATTTCTGGTGCGTCTGGTGCGGCGGGGACCCGGGTATTCGGGAACCCGTTGGGCGCAAGCCGGGTATCCGCCTAGTGTAAGCCACGTTGGCGACCCTTTGGCACTTGGTTTTTCTAGCCTACCCGTTGACGCCGGAAACCCGAGATGTCAGTCTCAAATTGAAGGGAATACAACTGGCGGTTCTTTCTAATGATTGAATATGACTTTGATGTCGGCGAAAAAGTACATAAATTGGGACAGGTGTCGCCCAAGATGTTCTGTCAATCCAAGATCACCACACAAATTGAGTCTGAAGTCCTGAACGCACAACACTTGCAACAGCTATAATATCACCTCTACATCAATATCGCACCAAAACAACCATAAAATATCTATGCCTTCCACGATCGTAATTATTGGGGCCGGTTTCGCTGGTGTATGGAGCGCCCTCTCAGCGAAACGTCTCCTTAACCTCAACAATCAAGGAGGCATCATCGACGTCGTCGTCATAGCGCCTGAGCCATATTTGGTTATGCGACCACGGCTCTATGAGCCAAATGCGTCAAGCTTTAAGCACCCTCTCATGGCTCTTTTCGAAGCTATCGGCGTACGTTTTCTCCAAGGCACCGCCGAGACCATAGACGCTCAGGCACACGTTGTCCATGTCAGGTCCCCAGCGGGCGTCGAGTCTCACGTACATTTTGACCGCCTTGTACTTGCTGCTGGAAGCTCTGTAGTAAGGCCACAAAGTGTCGCCGGACTTCAGCAGCACGCCTTCGACATAGACACGCTCGAGTCCGCCACCAAGCTCGAAGCCCATCTCGAGGGTCTTGCTTCCCGTCCGTCTAGTCTTGCTCGCAACACGGTTGTTGTTTGCGGCGCCGGCTTCACTGGCCTCGAGCTGGCTACCGAGCTGCCGAGACGCCTCAAGCACTTGTCAAACCCGCGCATCATTTTGGTCGAGGCCGCAGACCAGATCGGTCCCGAGCTGGGACCGGGGCCTCGTCCGGTTATCACCGAAGCCCTAGAAAGCCTCGCCATCGAAGTCAGGCTTGGATCTGCAGTTGCTGCTGTTGATTCCGAGAGCGTGACCCTTATATCGGGGGAGCGCATTGAATCGTTGACAGCCGTTTGGACCGCCGGTGTGCGCGCGACGCCCCTGACCCACCAGATCCCTGGGGCCAAAGACAATCTTTCACCTATCCACGTCAACCACCACCTCCGATCATTGTCTTCCGACCATGTTTTTGTTACAGGAGATGCAGCCTATGCCTCGGCCGATGATCAGGGTCACCATGCCTTGATGTCTTGCCAGCATGCCCTTCAACTTGGCCGAGTATCGGGATACAACGCCGCTGCGGACCTCATCAGCAAGCCTCTTCTCAGATACTCCCAGGAGGCGTACAGATGCTGCCTTGATCTTGGATCATGGGGCGCAGTGGTCACTGGAGGTTGGGAAAGAAAGGTAGACATGCAAGGGGATTCGGCTAAGCGGGTGAAAGGCTACATCAACCAGAAGCTTATTTACCCTCCTTCTGATGCTCGAGAGGCACTGGAAGCTGCGGACCCAGCAAGACCTGACTCTGATGAGTTGCTGAAGCAGGTCACTGCTATTGTTGGCTGATTGTTGTTGAAGGATTAGTTTTATAGCAAAGAACAATCATTCTTTTGTCATTGTTGTTCCTTGGTGCGAACGCTGTTTGATTGGTTATGCATGAATAGTGAACTGCGAAGGATTTGGTGCATGTTGAGTTGCAAAGCATTTCCGCAACGACTCTAGCTTCTTCAGTAATGAACTGAGATGATCAGCAATTCCGCCCTATCTTGAGTACCGTCGAAATCACTGCAACCCTGCTAAGGATATTTCCACCTAGAGTCCGAAAGATTCTAGCCCATTAGCTCCCCTTCGGCTCTCGAAGTCGATTGTTCCCCATCTCAAACTCAAGCGGTATCAGCCTCCTCATCTGCAATCTCCTTGATTTGCTTTACAAACTTCACAACCTCCGTGATGAAAGCCGAGTGCCCACCGGGGTTCCGAAGCACCCTCTTCAAGGATTTGATAGTCGAGGCAAGATACTCTTGTGTAGCGGGAGGTACCGTCCGGTCTTTCTCGCAAATGATATAATAAGCTGGAACAGTGAGAGTGTCCGCACCGAGAGGTGTAGGGCCCACTAATGCTTCCAGCGACTGGGGTAGCAAATCTGCCATGCACTTCTCTGCCATGTCGTCTTGCATATCGGGGCCGTAGAAAGCAGCCTTGGCTTTGGCGTTTGCCGACATCAGCCCATCAGCCACATCGACGATGTCTACGCCGGGGGGAAGGACGCTCAGGGCGCTTTCGCCAGCTTTGGGAGGCACATTCGCTGCTATGAAGACAATAGTGCGAATGCCGCCTTTCTGGCCACGGGAAGCTCTTTCAGGTACTGAGTAACCCCGTGCCGCGATGATCACAGGGACGGCGCCGTAAGAGTGTGCGATGGCAAGAAACTCCTTTCCCTGGTCTAGGTAAGGCTCCAGTTCGACCTGAATGTTACGAGCGTCATCCTCTGCCGTGAGTTTGTTGTTGTATCCAACGCTGGGGTGCCGGACGGCAACGACGGGTGAGAAGCCAGACTCTTCAAGGTGGGCTTTAGCGAGGTCAAAGCAGGAGGGACGGTGGAATCCTCCATGTATCAGGACGACTCCTAGAGACTCTCTAGGGGCTTCCGGTGGGGACATGGTTCTTTTTCTTAGTCGTCTCCCTTCCAGCCAGAGATTGGATTCCGTGACTTGACTTGAGGTTTGCGAACTTTGCCGGTGATATGATCAGAAGTCGACGAATAAAGGTTTTTTTAATGCAAGATAACTGCATGGAAATGATGGGCAACATAGATTACTTTATAATCGTGGCCACGTTTCTTCACTATTGTAACATATTATGAAGTGGAACGTGAGATACGCTATTTACTTCTGTCATCAACTTTTGTGCCTCCTTCTGCATGCATGGATACTCCAATTACCAGATACCCAAGCTGTGGAGTTGAATTCACACGTAAGCGCGAGCTAGCAGGCACTGCCAGTTTGGATCCAATAGATAGCATCATATGACCGCCGTCGCTGACATACTTCTGTTACATTACAGCTGACAACTGCTCCATTCTGTTTAGATTTCTCGAGGGGCATTTCGGGATGGCGTTCATTGGGTATCGCCTGTCACATAGTTTGACATTTATTGGAGAAAGTCGTTCTAGACCCCCATTGGCCCAGTTCACCCTGTAAACGGATATCACAGTACGCATAACCCGATACGCAACACCTCTAGCTTGTGCCTGATCTTATTAATCTCTCGATACGGTACAAAATATCTAATAGCACAGAGCAACTGCCGAGCCAGACTTCGCTTCATACATGGCGCGAAACGGCGTTGACAACGGTGTGGTAGGTGTCACCTGTACGTCGGCGACGGCATCAGCCACAACGGGCGATGGTGGCTATGTTGAACCTACCATCGAGGTGGTGATAGCAAGTTACTTTGATATTGTCCGCATATCACCATTCTTCTGCTCGTATATTGCTATTGTGTGTTTCCATCTTGCCACAAGCACAACGACCTCACTCAGACTCTGGCCATTTCTTCTTTTTCTTTTACCTTTTTTTTTTTTTTTTTTTTTTTTTTTGCTTCAATCAAGGGCTGGGGGAGGGGGGCACAACCCAATCCACAATGGGCACAGATTGATCTTGTCTACACACCTCTTTTGGCACATCTTGATATTGCAACCAGGGTGCTCAAAGATTTTAGTGTTTTCCCTACAGGCTATTGAAAGATAATGACAACCTGACTTTTGATACCGGTCGTCTTGCAAAGGTAGCAGTCTGTAAAGATCGGATGCCAAGTTTTTTGTGAACGGCAAGGGTGCGACATGTAAACGCTAAAACCTTTTGTGCGAATCCAACTTTGACAATGCCTTGCCACTTAAGTGCCCGAAATGCCCAGTTGGAGAGCGCTACGAGGAAAGAAATTGCTCTTCCGTCCCCGAGTTGCCCCGATAAGTCCGAGACGTTGTACCAAAAATATTAACCTTTACTTTGCTTCGCGAGCAGATATCATCAACTTGCCTACACTTACAAGCCAATGATGTGATCGCTATCGGACATAGGTAGAGTGTTAGTGCTAGAGTCCGAACGGACATAACTCGCGCACCGGACTTGGAATCTGCGACAGGCCTTTCAATCCGTTTCGGGGCCTATGAACTTTTGCGCTACCACTTTGGAGAGTAATAGCCATGCCATCGTCGGCGCTGCACTGCCGCAGCCGCTTGCTTTCGCGGAGACTTGACGGGAATATGAGGCCGGGGTCGGACGGGATTAACGATTTCCTTATACGGCAAGTGGTGCTTGCACCAAAGTCAATGCATCGCCTTTGTATAGTGCATGTGATAGAAAGTATATTAAAAACAACGACTCGGTTCAGGAAACAACAACTGCCAAGCTATGATCCATCCATTCACCCCTATTCTCTAACTTTCTACATCTTGCATTGCTAGTCGTTCTTACATGTTCCTGACCATCTTCGTGCAGCAATGGCATCAAAGTACAATAAGCTCTTGGGAAAGCATGTTCTCATAATCGGCGGTTCAACCGGAATTGGCTTCGCCATTGCAGAGGCCTCCATTGCCAGCGGTGCCAATGTCACAATCTCATCATCGTCACAAGACAAGCTCTTCCAGGCTGTTGCATCTCTCCGATCATTTGTTCCGGCTTCTTCTCAACAGAAGGTTCAAAGTTTCGCCGCCAATCTCTCTGGTTCGGATGCTGAAGCCAATCTAGAGGCTGTATTCGAACAAGGCGGCCCAGTCGACCATGTCGTATTCACGGCAGCAGACTCGCTCTCCCTCATGATGCTGCAAGATCTGACGCCCGACAAGATTCTTGCTGCATGCCAGATGCGTCTTGTCGCCCCGTTGATGGCAGCGAAGGTTGCTGCAAGATACCTACCCAAGAGCAACGGGTCCTCTTTCATTATAACAAGCGGCTGCGTGGCCCATAAGTCAAACCCGGGATGGTCCATCGTCTCTTACTTCGCAGCAGGCCTGCAGGGTATGGCAAAGCAACTGGCAGTTGAGCTTAAGCCATTGAGAGTCAATGTTGTTGCACCTGGGTATGTCGATACAGGACTATGGGACGGCATGAAACCCGAGGAAAAGGAAGAAATGGTCAAAAGAATCGAAGCCTCGATGCCAACAGGGAAATTTGGTAGAGTTGAGGACGATGCTGAGGCATTTCTATGGTTGATGAAAGACCGAAACGTCACTGGAACCGTAGCAGCGACAGACAGTGGAGTCATGATTGTTTGATTCTGTTATTGAATATATGCTGGGGCGTGTCCTGAGAAAAGCAGAAAACACCTACTACCCCCCTTAGAGCCAATGTACAAGAGCATGTTTAGCGCTGACTGTTCTGGAGGGTGAGCCTTCAGCTCGGGGGAGCAATGCTTCTTGTTGTTTACCTTCAAATGTCTAGTAGCGCCGCAGTTAGTTTTTGGCTGTAGTTAAAGAACTCCATTTTCTTTTCTTTTAAGAAACCTAGGACGAGAAGCCCCACCAAACAGTCCGCAAAAGAACAGCCTTTGTGTGCTTAGATACTGTTGGTTTTTACTGGCTAATTGATGGGATCCCGTATCTCGTGATATTACAAAGGTTAGGAAAAGGTAGTTAAATTTGTGGTTGTTGATAGTTGACTAGTTAACAAGGTGAAGTGGGAGCATAAGTGTGGTAGCACCTTTGCGTGTAGGCAAAAGTAAGGATTCTGCTAGTAAGTAGTACGTTATATAACCTACTGCCTCTAGCTATATTACCTATATGCTAACACTAGTAGCTTTCTTATATAGTAAAAGTCACTAGTGCTCCTATTCCTCTTAAAAAGCCTAAAAATATAATAAAAACAAGAAAAATAAAAGTATTACACTTTTTATAGTTATATACTATTATAAATTTATTTATCTATTTACTTAGTAAAGGTAGGCTTATATTATCTTATTTAAGTGTATTTCTCTTTAGCTATAGCTATTAAAGGTATATACTTATATTAAATAGATTTAACTACTATTAATCTATATAGTTTATATAACCTATTTTCTTTTTTAAGTATTTATTATTTTATATCTTATTATTTTTATTATTTCTTATTATATTTATATAACTTATCTTTTTATTTATATCTTTACTTTATTATAAAAAATAAAACTCTTAAGTACTTAGTTTAGTAAAAACTTTATAAACCTATTAGTAAAGTTATTATTACTATAGATCTATTATACCTTAAAAAGCTTATATTACTTATATAATTATTATAGTACTATAATATTAATTATTAAGTACTTTTTATAAGTAGTACCTAACTTTACTAAGCACTTATATAGTAAGTATAAGTTAGTATAGATAATAGTAAAGATTAATAGGTTACTAAGCTTATTTACTACTATTATAATAGTTATAAAGAGAGTATACACTATATTAACACTTATAACTATACTATAGACTTTTAATATAAGAATACTTTATATTACTTATTTAAATTTAGTTAATAAGAAATAAAAGATATTACTATATAAAGTAAACTTACTTTACTAGTTATTAACCTCTTTATTAGTAAAAAAGATAATAAATCCTAACTATAAAGTTAAGTTATAATTATTAGTAAAAGATTTATTAATAAATATAAAGAGCTTTATATTAAGTAGGTTAAAAGGAATAAAGGTAAAGCTATAGTTAAGTATATTTATTTACTACTAGATTCTTTAGTTAAGTTATTAAATAGCTTTACTATTTAGCTTCTTATACTAAGCTATAGTAGATAAGTTAAAGTATACTTTAGGCTAGTAAATAAAAGTAATATATATACCTTAAGTATACTACTAGATATAGTCTTACTAAGCTATAGGTAATTTCTTATTAATAAGTCTTAGCTTTATGCCTTAGCCCTTTTAGTAAAGTATAATAAAGGTATTTTTAGCTAAAGTTAATAAGATAATTCCTTTATTAAATACTAGAGGTTTATTCTCTATAAGTAAAATTTTCTTTTTTATAAAGAGCTTTACTTTAGTAAGCTTATTATCCTTATAGTTAAAAAAATTAACACTAGTTAAGCTAATTATATTATCTATTTATATCTTAATTATTATAAAGTTAAGGTTTTATAA